CTAATTCGTCAAACTGACTGTCAGCCAATCGAGTAGTAGATTTCTTTTTAAAATAACTAACTCGTTAAACAGAAAATAACTCAATCGAATAGTAAAACTCAACATCAATAATCCCAAAGGCTCGAGTTGCAAACAATTCATAATATATTCTTAACCTCTTCTGGAGGCTCCATTTCTTTGTGCATTGTGGTAGAGCAATTACAGTATAACCACACATCTAAATTTTGAAGATAGATATGTATGGTTTCTGACCAAAAACCAATGTATGGGATAATATTTGTAATGGTCCATTTGAGTTTATGCATATGGATGATATTTTCTATGTTTCTATACGTCCGCATTTGTATATATATGGGACGTCTACTTTCCTTTTGAACACATATAATGAACGATTCTACTAGACCATTTCATTTTGCTTGTACAAGCACTCCATGTTCAAGTTTTATCTCCGAAATATTTATTCAGGCATCGAGTAATACATTCACCAGAATTATCAAATAAAAAATTCTCTCATAAGAGAATATGACACATATAACTAAATTGAAGTTTTGTAATTAACTTTCACAAACTCTAGGTTGCAAGTTAATGAACTATCTCATTAGTATATCAGTTAATTTTTTGAAAGAAACTCCTAATTCTCCAAATTTAATACACATGAACTTTCTTGTTCTATTTTGAAATTGTTGTAATTAGTAAACTTCTGGTTCGACTTGTTACTATGAGAAGTTAACTTCTAGTTCCCTAGTAAACTTACGGTTTACAATAAAACTCAACCATAGTGATATACGTATTAATATTTTAATACAAAAAGATACAAAGGTTACAAATTTCTTTGACAAAATTGTATTCTTAACGTAAAATTATATGATAACGATTTTGAATTTGATATTTCTTTCACGAATTTTTTTGACATTGAAATTCGAAAATTCTTTCTCGAATTCAAAAATTTGTCATAATTCTATTAAAAAGAAATAGTAATTTCTAAAATTATTTACAATTGCATAAGATTTAGAGTGATTTTTAATAAAAACTTATATTAAAAAGGATAGGTTCGAAATTTTATAATTTAGTCTTTTTTAAAAATTGTATGAATTTTGATTTTTTTAATTAATTAGTTTTAATATTCTAGTGTTATTTTTATTAATTTAATATTATTTTAATATTTATTTGGTATGGTAAAACTTCCATAATAAGCTTTTGATATATTAATATTCTCTATTAGGCTCCGTTTGGTTGGATTGAATTAGGATTGAATTGGAATTACAATTGAAAATGAGATATTAGGATTGTAATTCAATCATAATTTCTTTGTTTGGGAGATCTTAAGAATTGAGTATAATTAAGATTTTAATACTAATTCTTGCGTTTGGATGTTTAGGAATTTAGATAGTTATAGAATTGAGTATACCTGGCCATTCGTTCGGTTTGGCCTATTTTGATCTCTGGCCAGTGACGGTCATAGTGAAGAATATGTTGGGCTTGATATTTTTGAACAACAGACATTGACGTCCCGAGACTCATTTTCCCAACCTGTGTTTCCTTGAACCCCAAACAAATGTTTCATGACAACTTTAAAACTACTTTCAAAGCCAAATGAAAACCGGTTGAAAGATCCGTAAAGTTTTGGCACAAACTTTGATAAACAAAGAATTTTCTGCAGCAAGAAATAGATCTAAACGACACCAGATCATGGAAAACAAGGCTACACCAAAACAGTGTCTTCAAAATGAAAACTGGAATTTTGCCGAAATCGAAAAGCTAAGCATACTAATCTGAAAATCTTGCATAATTCACCCATATAACTTTAACTTGAATAAATCCAGACTAAAATAACACTATCACCATTAATTACCCTTGTGGAGTTGCACCATAAGCCACCGTTGTTTCATTTCAACTGTTGACAACCCAACAAACGTGTCATATAATCTCTGATTGTCCATCATCAAATCTAGGACTTTGAAGGTTTGCATCTCGTCCAAGGAGACTACCTTCAATGCTTCAAGTATATCTTCCGGTGTAGCTTTTTTTGTAGCAACCAATATTTGTCTCTCAGTCCCCATAAACTCACCAAAGTTTTCAGCAATTTGCTTCATGAAACCACACATTATATTTGATGAACTCGGTTTCTTGTTCAAAGAGCAAAGAGAAATAGGCATGTCAACAGCAGGGTTCTGTTCAGGTTTTTCTGCATTTTTCAGCAGGGATAATGTCATCTTCAAATCGAGTTTCCGGGCAAACCACGACTCCGATTTGCATTCCATAAAAACTGAATTAAACCATGTTAAAATGAAGGTGATTTTCATATAAAGAGATCCTAAAAAGAAGCTAAGGAGCTGGGAGAAAATGGCTGACAACAGTGGGTTGCAGTTCTGATTTTTCTGCACTATTAAAATATAATCAGCAATCTACGTTGTTGAACCCACATTTTAAAAGATTTGCTAGGTCATTTGGTGAAACATGCAAACTGAACCAAACCTTACTAACCTAGGAAGAATCTGGTATGAAATCATGGAGAGAAAGAAACTTACAAGATGACATTTGAGCGGTTCATTCAAACAACTTAAATCTGGATTTTTTAACTCTGTATAACCGAACTCTTTAAACTCATTCATTCTCTTTATTTTAGTTCAAGTCTGCGTTTATATCTTAAGACCATCAACAATCATTTACATGCTCCTTACAACAACCTTTAGCAGCTACATTATTTTCAAAAGGTACATTTCTTTCTTCATGATGCACTTTTGCAAAATGAACAAGAAAGATTTTCAAAATTACAATCAATGCCCTTAACTGAACAGGAATGCTGCAAGAATAAATGTCAATATACCTCAATGACAGTTCCCAAATACTCCAGAACGGCAGGAATCTTGGCTTCCGCAGATTCAGTATATATCTATGCAGTCATTAAATGCCCAGTAGAATACATTCAGACGTTAAAAAAACAAAAGGGAACAAAAAATAAAAAAATGTATAACATAGCTGAACCCAAAGTTAGAAGAGTTGGCGTCTACGTATGTGTATGGACAAGAGAAAAATAACTAAAGAAAAATAGAAGCCTGAATCATTCTTACCTTATTAATGAGATTCTTCTCTGAAAACTTGAGTGATTCAGCTTCTTCTTTAGATTTGCATGCCTTAATTTTGCTCTTAATCACCTCCAACTACAGCATAGGAAAGTACATAAATAGATTCCTCTTCAAACTTTATAAATGATTAAGCAGCAATAACGATCGTTAAACTGCAAAACTAATTAAGCATATGAAAGGAAGAAGTTCATAGTCAAATTTTAGTACTAGTTAGTTCAGCTCAATAAGCGAAAATGGCAAGAAAGCAATTCAAGCTGCGTTTAAAACCAAAAAATCTACCAGAAAGACAGAAACAACCAATAAAGGCGTTATATTTGATCATCTCCTATTAATAGCCTAAGTATATAAGATGTTTTTTTTAGGGAAAGTATATAAGATGTTAAATATTCATCTCCCTCACATTCAAATACAATTGGGCACCCATCTCCTAGTCTCTTGTGTTTGATCAAATAAAAAGAAAGATATAGTTTAAGCTGAAATTTAGAACATAATGATCTTTTATTTCATCAAATCTAAGAATACAAAACCATTCCACAAACTATGCAGGAGAATTGATGGTAGCAGATTCCTAGAACGTGCATAAATTACACCCATCACTACCCCAAGAAAAATTAGAGGAATCATTCTCTGTACATTAAAATGTGCTAAAGCAAAAGCCACCGAACTCATTAAAACAGCACACCAAACAAGCATATACTTACTCAGGGAAGGTAGAAGAAAACCCCGGAACACTATTTCTCCCCATAAGGGAGCACACACTACGAGTACTAAAGCGTATAACCCCATCGCCACTGGAAAAATACTATAACTACCTAACTTATCCAATTCTAGACGAGATTCCATATAAACCCTCAACAGATACGAGATTCAATAAAACCCATAAACATGGACTTTAAGCCAAACCCACCACATCTAATCAAAATTCAGTAGAAAACAAGCCTTAAAACGAGGTTATTCACCGAAAAAAAAACGATTGCAATTATTGAAAGACCAAAAACAAAATAGATATGGAAGAACACTGACTCATCAAATAAGGTACAAAAATCAAATATTCGGACAACCCAAACTTCAAGCAGAGCCACCATGAAACAGACGAAAATTCCGTTATCTTACCTGCTCAAAATCGATAGAAAACTAAAGAGCCTGTGAGCCGGCGATTTCAGACGGGTTTCGCCATGGGAGAAAAAAAGGAACAAAGAAAATAAAGAAACGGTAAATGTGCGAAAGAGACGTCAATTTTATCCGAACCCGGAAAAAATAAGTTGACCCGGATTTATGACCCGCGATTTTTTTAAAACACCCTCGAATTTGAATTGCAATTATTTGCTCTCACAAAAGAATTGAAAATAAAGAATTGAGCCCCATTATGAATTATAATTCTAATTCGGAAAGTCTATTTTTATCAGCCAAACACAAGAATTGGAATTGGAGGTCCAATTCAATCCAACCAAACAAAGCCTTAAATATTACTTCTTCAAGTTCATACTTAGGACAAGTAAAAGAATGAAGAAATTCAAGACAATTTTTTTTTTTTTTTGAGGAATCTACTATAAATCTAATTACGTGCAATTTCATAAGTTAAAGAATATCTAACATAAAAAAAGATTGCTATAAAAGTAATATTTTTACTTTATCCCAAGTTTGGTGAATTACAAATAAGATAAAATTTGTGCAAAAAAGTACACTTGTTTTTTATTTGTCATTTTGATTTAAAAAATTGAATATTTTATTTATTTAATATCTATTTTAAATTCGAAATTTTATGAATACAATTATTTTGATATTTATATTCATATTTTATTTAATATATTTTTTTTTCAAAAATAAAAAATTATACCGAAAACATACATTTGACTTAATCCTAAATTTGGTTAAAGTATTTGAATATAAGGTGTATTTGACGTAAAGTAAAAACCATTTTCAGAGTCTTGCTATTCAATTTCAATCCTTTAGAACCTTCTGTCTTCCCGAAACTCGAACCCAGAGGTTTAGCAACAATGGCGTCAAACCCCGCCACATTACTTCGTAAATCTCCCTTGTTATACCGTATAGCTTGTTCTTCGCGCAAACCCACTCCACGCTTCAAAACTTCTCTTAGAATTCCGAACCAGCTTTGTATAATTAGTGGGTTTAAAAGCCTCTTTCACTCATGTTCAAGTTTGAATTATGGGTTTAAGGAAATATGTCATCCTAAGATTGGGTTTGGCAATCTGGGTTCAGATAGTTTTCGCCTGTTTTCTGTGACTGATGGTGGTTCTGGCGGGGGAAGTAGTGGCACCGGTGGCGGTTCAGGTGGAGGAAATTCTGGTAATGATGGTGGTGCTGCAGGGGATGGAGGTGGCAAGAAATGGTCATTTCTATCATGGTCTGACACTTTTCAGTTTGACTGCCTGATTTTTAAAAATTCATTCGAGATAATTGCGGCATGTGTTTGTTTTTTTTTTTATTCCTATTTGTTTTTAGATTTTATTTCTGGTGAATTCTCCTCGTCACAACCTATTGAAGATAACATCTCAATTTTTATTTCCCTCATGCTATATCTCACATTGATTATGGATGTTTAGAAGAATGCATTGCCCAAGGGATAAGTTGGGTTGTGGAAATGTAGATAACATGAGCATTTTCTGCTTGCATTCTGGTTCTGTCCCGCAGAATTTCTGTAATTCTTGAGTTTCACCATTTGTTTTGGCCGCGAATGTGAGTACTTCTTTCTACGTTGTACCAATCTCCGACCTTTTTTTTTTGTGTTTTATTATCCGGGGGACTTCTATTTAAAGTATGCTTACTCCTACTTCATTATGCTCCAGGTGAGTTAGTTGTTTTCTTGTGATTAGCCTTTGGGTTTCACGTCATAATGTCAACACTGGTGGCAGGAAATCACTTAGTTTATGCCTGGGGTGCCCCTACAAAATTGTTTAGTGCAGGTTTTATGCATGTCATATGATATACCATTTCAATGCTGCTGTATTTTGGATCATCTGTGACTTATTGATATCACTGATGACAACTTTTATACCATTAGTCCACGATATTGACTTGGCCAAATGAGAGCTAATCGCTAGTTTCTACAAAGTTTTTGCATTTGATCTGGATAATCACTGTTTTTTCCTCTGTTTTTATATTTATTTTTTGGCTGATATCATTCTTGTCTGAAGTGTTTCTTATAAACCTAATCTTTGCTTGATTAACCTTCCAAACTTTTCAATTGAATTGATTTTGGTTTGTTTTTGCAGGTACTTGTCACTTCTTGAGAACTATCCTGTGTGGACTAAAGCAATTACATCTGCATTATTGACTTTCATTGGAGATTTAACCTGTCAGGTGAACTCCTAAATCAAGGCTATGGTTGAACACACACTACCAAAACAGTTGGTGGGAAACTTCAGCATAATTAATTTTCAGTATGATGCGTCAAAAATTTTTATTTTGATTATCTTTTTGTTTTTGGCTACTTTTTTATGAATGAATATTGATGCTGCCTGCTTTTTCGCATCTTATGGTTCAACTTTGTGAACTTTTAATCTATAAAGTAAAGCCGATTTGTTTTTGGAAGATATGGTATTTTGATGATTAATGGTGGAACTATACCGAGGATCTCGTAGGACCTGGAGGTTAAATGTTAACTTCGTGTGGAGATAAGGGTTTCTAGGAATTTCCTTAAGATTCTGCAATCAGTAATAAAAGAATTGAGGACTAGAGAGCTTGTTTCCATTTAAGTTCTGTAATTTGAGACATTAAGACCGTTCTGTTTTCTAAAAGCTTTATCAGTTTCCGAACAACCTAAATCAAGGGAAAGTGTTTGGGATTTATTAGATATTTAAATAAGAAATGTTCTATCTTGACCCTAATTTGAGGCCTAGCACTAAATATTCTTCTCTGATTTCTGGACGTTATGAAATCATCAGGAGAGCAGTAAAACATCTTGTCATGTTGTGGAAAGGTAAACATCACAACTCAAAAATCACTAGGTACATATTGATATGTCAATTTATCTATCTAGAGTACCTACACATAGAGGTAGAGGTATCGAGATATCAGTGTGCCGATTCAGTTACTACTTAACGAAGGGAGATACATATATCTTTAGCAGCTGTATAGGCACCGAGAGATTCATTTTTATGTTGTGAATGAAAAGAAAATTTTGGATATTCTCTTCGAGTTCCAAAGTGACCTTACTGTTATTTCAGCTTTAATTCTGCTTATTGTAAAACATTTAGACTCTAATGGCTGCTGCCAAACTTCTACCTAGGTTTTCACTCTTGTGACTTGTCCAAGCATATTTGGCCAATCAAGACGTTCAGAGTTGAGTAATATGTTTTAGACTAAATGCTTTCTGAATGGGTTCCCCGATCAAACTACATAGTTTTGAAGGGAAAAGAACTGATATAGACTGATTTTAATTGTTATGGAGTCAGTAAGTCCTTTAAATAGTCAAATGATCAAAAGGGAGAATAACGAACTGTCAATACAAGGTTGATGGAAGAGAATTTATTTACAAAAACTATTAATGTAAAGATTGAAAATAGCAGAATTGTGTTGGTAGAGGGGTAACAAATATCTAGGAGTTTTGTTGCATCCGACAAAGGATAAGTTGGATAACTTGCCAGTTTTTGAAAGATTGATGAGTAATAACAGAAGTTGTTTGATGACACCTTTCTACATGTTACAATTCAGTTAAGGATGAGATGAGAGAAGATGATTGGTTCCAGAACCAGAAAATGGTGCACAGAAACAAAAAAAAGTGGAAGTTGACATCTGATAATTTGCCGTTTGAGACTTTCCATGATGAAGACCAAGAGAAGTTGGTCAATGCATTTTGATGTTGAAATCATGCAAATGGTGCATGTTTGCTGGACATGGTGGAATTTCTATGATTGAGAATCTCATTGGATCTGAAATTAAGTTAAAAATTTAGCGTACTGGAGCTTCAATAAAGCCATTGCACCTGAAGTCTGAAACTTGTGCTTTATTGGGATTTAGTAACACCATGAATGGACTCCAAATCAAAGGGAGGGAGACTTCGTAGTGAAAATGTATCTGGTGCCTGACATGAAAACCAACACAATCCCTGCTAAAGCAGTCGTGCTGTTGGAAGATGCATCTAAGAAAAGCATAATCAGTGTCGATAACTGTAGATAATCAATAGAAGGAAAAGATAACCAGGGCAGTCTTCCCATATACAACTGACCCCCCAGACCCCAACTTGGTTGGGAATATACTGAGTATGTTGTTGTTGTTGTTGTTCTTTATTTATTTATTTATTGGTTTTTTTAAGGGTAGAACACTGAACACCCATATGTATACCCCACTGTTATAGTACATGAGAGTATAAAGATCTATAGGAGTTCAAGGGCAAAGAGTTTCCAGAACTTTTTGTTTCTAAGATATAGCATCAAACTTGCATATCATTCTTGAGTTGCGTGGCGAAGATATTAGCGAAAAGAGTTGGATTTGGTTTGATCCCTAGTATATACAATTCCCAAGTCTAAACATTCTGTTTTCTTTAAATTTATTATTGTTTGTTATTTATTTGATCTTAACATGTTGTGCATGCCATATAGTCGTCCTTATGGCCCTCTAAAATATAAGAGCTATGTATGTTGACTTCAATTTGATTGGACCCGCTGAAAAATGGTCTAATTTTTTTCTTCTGTGAGGATTACTCTTTTTTGTCTGGCAAAGTACTGATTGGTGTTTGCATGCCTCAGCTTGCAGTTGACCAAGTACCTTCATTAGACTGGAAGAGGACATTTCTGTTCACATTTTTGGGGATGGCCTTGGTGGGTCCAACATTGCACTATTGGTAATGGTTTCACTTAAAAGTTCTATATGTCTAGAATGGTTTCATAGTTCTCCCGGAGACTTTAAGTCATGTATGTATATATTTATGTATGTGCATGTTTGAAATAGCTTCCTGTGTCTTTTTGCCAGTGCAGAGACACTGCATGAATGGAACATATGATTGTTACGATAAGAAAAAGACTACCCTACATAAGAGATATAGTTTTAAAGAATCTAGGTTTTCCCCAAATTTATAAATGTGTTGCTTTTCGAGTTTAATGTAATTTTTCATAATTCTTGACTTCTAAGTTTAAGCCATTTTGGTCCCTGGTAACATTGAGAGGCCAATCTCGTGCAATGCGGTGATTGCTTATTTTGTTAGGTTTTATTCTTCTAGCATTTGCTATTAAGCTGTGCCTATTGTGCTGTCACTCCTTTTTGATGGAGTATTCATTCTTAATGTAATATTTCAATTTACCACCTTATGATTTATATTCTCAGGTATTTGTACTTGAGTAAATTAGTGACAAAACCAGGAGCATCTGGTGCTATATTACGCCTTCTTCTCGACCAGGTTACTTTTGAAGCTCTACTATTTATCCTTAATGGCATTTATTTAACTATGAATACTGTCAGTTTTACAGAGTAACGGACTTAGAGAAGGCTTATTGTTTCTTTCATTGCAGTTTTTGTTCTCGCCTATCTTCATTGGAACTTTCTTGTCTACTTTGGTGACATTGGAGGGAAGGCCAGCACAAGTGATCCCAAAGCTGAAACAGGTTTATACTAATAAGTTTTCTTGCCATCCTATGAATTGAAAAAGTGAAAAATAATCAAATATTCACTCTTTTGGTCGTGGACTTTTGTCTAGGTAGCACAAAACAGATTCCCATTCTTTCACAATTAATGAAATAGGAAAAGGAATCAATCTCTGTTTGGAATATCCTGTGTTCTGTAATTCTAGCCTGATCTGTATTACACAAAGTACGAGAATTCATCCCCGAGAATTCATCCCCAATCTTGTAAAACTAGAACATTTGTTCGTTAATCTTCCGAACCATTTCTTTTCTCTTGTCATCCTGTTTTCTCTGTTGCCTGTTTCTCCTCAAGTTTGTCTCCATTCCGCTTCATGTGCTTTCATTTTTTCTCTACCTCCGTGTTCACACTTTTTCGTTTTCTTGACTTTCTTGCCTCACTGATTCTCGTTTTCTCCTTTGTCTATTTCTACCTCCTGCCTCAAATTGGATGAAAGATGACAAGAGATAACAGAGAGAAGATAAGTTTTATATCTGGAAAACTATATGAACGAGAAAGTGGATGGGAAATGGAGAGGGAGAGAAAATTTGAGAAGAAATTAAGTGATTAAGTGAGCTGAAATTATCATCAACAAAGAAACATGCTATTAATCATTAACTAGGTAGGAAAAGTAAAGAAGATAGAGAGTTAAAATGCAACAGTGCATAAAATCGAGTAGAGGTAGATAAAGATTTGGATGAGAGAGATTGAAAAAGAATGTTGACAGGAAATTAATGCGAATCGCATGGGGTAGAAAAGTATTAAAAAGAAGTAGAGACAACATTGGAGGAGAGAGAAGTTGCGGTAATGGAGCTGGGTGTCTGGGAGTTGCAATTTCTAGGGGAAAGGTAGAGAGAAATGTGGATCGGAGATCAAGAATGAGAGAAAGCGATAAAGAGAGAAAATCAGATGAAAGATGGAATTGGAGAAGATATAAAGCAAAGTACAATGAAAATATTGCAGAGATGTGCAAAAAAAATTTTTGGGTGAGAATATTGGAGAAATGTGAAAAAAGATTTTTGGGAGAGAAATGGAAACAAACTTGAAAAAGGCAAAAAAAGAATGAAACAGAAATATTGGTGTTAATTGTGATTTGAAGGCCAAATGTGCTGAAAAATCAGTGAACCTTTTGCTAGTCAAACTAATAATTTGCCATCCAAAAATGGAAAATTTGAAAGAATTGGAGCCAAGTTTGCTCCTTAAAATTGAGGGGGAAAAAAAAGGAAAAAAATTTACGAAAAAAATTTAATAAAATTCTCATGGTTCCTGATTTTGGAAAGATGCAGAGGGAATTAATGATTTCAGTGTAACCATTTTTTTCTTTTTCTTTTTCTTTTTTTACCCTTTTTTTGATGGCATCTTCCTTGCTTTTGACCAACTTGGTATGCATGCCAAGGTCCCCCTGATTTTATTCAACTCTGAATTTCACTTGTGCAGGAGTGGTTCTCTGCTGTTGTTGCTAACTGGCAGCTGTGGATTCCTTTTCAGTTCCTCAACTTCCGATTTGTGCCACAACAATTTCAGGTTTGAAGGCAAAAATATTAATTGAATTCCGAGCAATCTGGCTGACAAATTTCTGTACGATTGCTCTGCATTTTGCTTGTGTGAAGTGAAGCATAGGCTGTCTATTTTGCAAGAAGGCTAACGTTGTTAATGTATGCATTCACTTGACAAAGAATATTTGCTCGGCATGAATACTATACTATGAATATAAAATTCCGGAAAAAAGAGAAACTTCAAAGTTTGATTGAGAAAATTTTGATAACATTGATAGCGTCTTTTGATTTGTTTTACTGCACATAGCTAAACAAAGTTATTTTCCTTAATAATTAGAGCATTCCTAAGAAAATTAAACGTCAGATTGTGGTTTGAGTCTAAAACTGTACCAGGATGCCAAGATGTGAGATAATATTGGTTTGAGATAATTTTGCTATGCTCATAAAGGATGTTAACATGCTTGCTGCCCTCGTTTGGTGATGTATTTGGACACAACCCCTGGGATTGTTCAGTATCATGCACTGCTAGGTATGCAGCTTGCAGACCTCTAAACTGTGTCAGTGTACATGGACATACTTTAAAGTATTTTTGATAACAAAATGAGCAATGCTCATGTCATGAGATACAATTGCGTCCCGAGGTTTTCAAATTTCCTTGCTATTTCCATTTAGCCTTGAACATGACATATAGATTGCGGCATACTTTAGAACAGTACACGAACCATCATAATGGAAGTTGAATAATGGACTTGTGGGTCCCCAAGATTGGGTTGTAGGTTTTAAATCTCAAAATTGATGGATTCAGATTTTGTGTAGTTCTGTCAGGGTATTCGTGATCCATGTCTTAATGTAACATGTCAAGTTGTTTGTTCACCCTCAATGGTGATGCTGAGCAGTGATGTGTAAATATCAAAAGGCTGCTTGGCTTCTACGGATAGAAATGTATTTAAGGTTTGCAAGTGATCATGTATGGTTCTTAGATAGAATTCATCTTCATTCTCCTTTATGAAAGTTTGTACTATTTTGACCTGACAATAAATGAGGAAAACTGAGGACATCGAGAGGTTTAATAGAGTGAACTTATCATTTGTGGGAATCGTCTAAAATTGGCTGTACATAGCTTGCATTTTACTTAATTGGTGTAATGCGATCATTTTGCATCATACTGACGGATAGCTGTCCAACTTCCAGCAAAGTTACTGCTTACAGCTTTTTACAGATTTTAAATAAGACTAATTCCTGAGATTTAGTGTACATTCATTTTCTTTCTTGCACTTTCTTTGTCATAATGAGTTTGTGTGAAAGGTAATGTGGAATGTGTATCCCCCTTTTCTTTGTTATTTTACTGCTGATTGAACTTAGCTGTGGACAACAACATCAGTTTTATATCTGGTAAAACTTTCTGTTTGTGCTCCTTATGACATATTGGACAATGTGCATTTATGACTGTACTTGCCGTTGCAGGTCCTTGCTGCCAACTTTATAGCTCTGATATGGAACGTGATTCTCTCATATAAAGCTCATAAAGAAGTTCTTGCAAACTAGGTATCTCAAAAATAGGTCTCTCTTTGCTTTGTTATATTGGAGATCTACTCTATCACAAGAATTTCTCCTGGTACTAGAATTGCACAAAGAACTAGGCAAGTGGAACTTGCTTGTTCCCACTATTTTGGTGAAGACGAGCTGTTTGTTTTTTCTAGCTTAGGCAAATGATGACTAGGTCTCACGTTGGAATGTTTATGGGATTGAGATTAGTTAACTTGCTTACTTCCGTAGAGCAAATGATATTTTCAGTTTTGCATCACTTGAATTTTACCCTGTGAAATGACTTCAATTAACTCTGATTGTTGATTAAGGACAAGGAAGCCCTATTATTCTGCTCCGCAGTTCTGCGGTTCACATAAGTACCGCTTCCGATGATTCTGTTCATGTTCTGAAATCACAACTTAATCAGTCATAACCCAAAACAAAAGAAAAGGAAACCCGAAAAAGGATTAGTAGTACAAAGTGTTTGCAAAAGTTTTAGAAGCGAACGATTTGTTGGTTATTATTAGTAAAAGATGAAGCGAAGATGTCCATGTAAGGCTCTGGTTCCCCTGCCGTGGGTCACTACATGAACTAGAATTGTTTTAGTGCTAATTTTATATTTAGTTTGTGTTCATGCCGAACTTCCAAAGTTGCCGCTTTGTTCTTACATTTAAGTTTTCGAGAAATTATTGAGTGCAGCTCTGTACCATGTAGGATTGTGCAGCAAGACACAATAATAGCGGTAAAGTAGTAATTTTGGAGGGAGAGAAATAATTTCTTCAATTATATCACGAAAATAGAAAGATGCTAATACTTGTTGTATTAAAAATTAGGAAACAACAGTTGTACCCAATAATTTTTCTAAATTTTCAACACAACACTGATAACTGAAATAAAAGCAAAAATGTTGCTCTTTATACCTTCCCAAATGATTATTTACTTTTTGGTTAATGATAATGTCAGAGCGATTTTTAGCTTCCAGAACAAAAAAAAATGTCTTGCCCAAATTACCCTCAATGAGTCAAATCTCTGACTCCACTTTCTCCATTTCTTTCGGACGTTAGTCTATCCCTCTACCAACTTGAAGTTTCTAACGAAATCTCCCTTAGCCGCTATAGATAAATTCTAGCTCACATTTTTATTTTTCTAGTGTCTTCTTGATTAATTTTTTTGTCATTTTTCTCTATTATTACACCTTATTAATTCATGAAAACTGCCTAAATTTCTTGTTCCGTACTTATTATTTGAAAAGTTTTACAATTTTTTGTTTGAATTTTTGAAATGAATGAGTTTCCCATGAGCCATTTTACCCGTGAAGTTGTGAGTGGGTAATTGGCCCGTGGCATTCTCTGTGAATAACACCTCTCACATTGACCCAGCTAGTAATTTGGTATACTTTAATTTACAACTTATTGGTGTTTGTCTACAGTCTACAGGGAAGTGATCAATCCATTCGTGAAAAATCATTCATTGAAAGTGCGTCCCTTGATTTCATAGTTAGAGATGCTTAGAGAAGCCAAAAAGAAAAATTCTCATTTTTTAAACATCATATGTTGTGAAAATTTTAAATTGCTATTTTAGAGATTCAATGATGGTAAATTAGAATTTTATGGTGTTCATTAAGAGGGGAATTCTAGTGATTATAATCGGTGTGGTAGGATATGTAAATACTGAATTGATGAAGTGATCGGAAGTCGAAAACCATAGTGAAATCATAGTGGAATTGGGATTAAGGTGGACTGGATGGTTTGTTGCAGAAAAAAAGAGCGGCTTATGGATTGCAGAGGATAACACTTTTGACCCAATTTAGGGATAATAACCACAACCAATTTTTTCTATGGAAGCTAATTTCTGCTTTGATAACATCGCCAACCTTACTTTTTATAGTATTATTTTAAGTACCAAAAAGAATAAAGAAAATATCATACAAACTTAAAGACCATGTTTTGAAGTTCTCAACCTTGACTTTGTGTTGAAGACAATAAAATACCACTTCTAGTCCTAATACAAATTAACATTAAATTAGTTCAAATTAGTGGTTATTATTACGACAGGAGAGAATATAAAGCAATGCTTGTTTTAGTTTTATTGATGCCTAATAGTAAGAAAAAATGGAAATTAAAGTAAACAAATTAAATTAAGAAAAAATTAAGCAATGCTACCTGAATATTTAACTAAGAAGAAATAAACTTGAGATAAAAGGTGAACGTTAACTTTTAAACATACTAAGGAAATAACAAAAAGTAGATAACAATAATGAAAAATACTTATGAAAATTTTAAGTCCACTATGGAAAACGGAAAAGAAATTGCATGGCATAAGAAAAAGAAAGAAAAATCCTCCCGTTAACTAATAAAGTGGATTTTTTTTTATTCTTATTATTATTTTATTTTATTTTTTGGAATAATCATGTGGCAAAGCCATTCTAAGAAACCATGGAATTGGTGGAGGGAAAACATGACCATCTCCACAAACAGGTGCAACTGAAGTAGTCATTATGTAGATTCGATTCAAAATTAAAAGTTTCTCAAAAATTGGTGCAAAATCATTCATCAGCTTTGATTAAAATACATTTTTACCTCAACTCCTCCAAAGCAACAACATATTGTTCAAAATCCTCCGACCTCAAATGATGAATCGGCTCACGGGTTATACCACCAAAAATCATTATTACTTGTAACTCATCAAATTTGTCTTTACTGATACTCTTAATGTTTTCTTCTCCATCTCTAGTTTAGAAACTTTTTGAAATGAACAGTTGTACGTAATGAGATTGTGTAATACTCTGTTAAATAGAATGCTCTTAAACTGGAAGTTCAAGGAAATGAAGATCATGATGTCCCAAGGCTGGAGACAGAAGGTGATTTATATAATGTATTATTTTATTTATTTTTCTTTGAATCGTTACTGCAGAAATTGTAGATGAAAGTATCTCCCAATCAAACAAACATGTGATAGAAAAGTATAAGTGTTTTTGTGAAAGGCTCAAATCGTTTTCGTCATTTCTAAGTAGTTTATGATTGTGATTGTCTTGTCATTGTAGAACTTGAACCAATTCATGAAGTTCTGGAAGTAATATTCTAAGAAATCCCAAGCTCTGGATGGTAAGAAATTCTTGAGTACGGAGTACATATAATATAAACACTAGTAATCTGCCATTTTTATCAAGAGAATGATCTCTCTCACAAAAAAAAAAAAAAAGAGACTAATTTCATTGTGGAATCTCGTCCTCCTCTCTCTGAGTCTGAGATAGTGTAGCAGATTTTTCGATGACAGTTTTGCAAATTAGTTTCTCAAATATGCATGATATACAATACAATTTTAAAACAAATACTTGTGAATACCGAAATTTTGAATCATATATGTTAATATAATTTTTTTTTTTTTTTGCATATGTGGCATAGAATTAGGAGCCCGATTGAGATGTAGTAAAGTGACATTATTAAAATAAAAAGGCTTTTTGAAATTATCCAAAGAAATTTTTTTTTAAAATGTTGTCTTGAGCACTTTCGTGCTGATAACGTGTTTAAAAGAAATTGCAAAGCAAGAAAAAATAAAGAATAGATGAATGGTCGTGAGATTGTTGGGACTGTCTTTTCTATTTATTTTAACTTCTATTTATAGGCTTAGAGTCAATTAAAGATTATACATTTCGTAAACTCCATGACTACATAAATTACATAGGATAAGAGTTAGTAAATGGAGTTTTGTATTTAATCAAGTTAAGACCATAAAGATAATTAAAAACAATATTCACAATTAATATGGTTCATAACATATCCATATATATATATATATATATATATATATATATATATAATTCTAACGTTCCATAGTTAGTCTTTTACAGAAGAATCGTTCATTAAAAATACTTTCAATTAAAAATTGACACACCGCTAATTATAATAGGTTGAAAAGTATAGTGAAAAAAAAAACCAAATAAATATAAAAATTAAAAAATAATTGCTCATCCATAAAAACTGAATTGACGTAGAAATCCAAAAAAAAAAAAAAAAAAACACGATCACTGAGATGGTGAAACCATTGTTTCATTTTCTACTTTTTTTTCCCCCTTTAAGCAACTGATCTCAAGGTTTTCTTTTCTCACACGGTAACATTAATAAATTAAGAAATATTGCTTTTGAATCTTACTTGATAAAATAATGCGTGTTCCAAATTTCCCACAACAAACAATTGTACAATATCCCGATAACACTTTGTTTCCAGTTTTCACAATCCCTTTTTTCTATTCGAGGGGTCCTTCATTCCTTTTTCCTCACGATGAGTATCTGTAATCTTCAATTATTCATGGGCTTTTTCTTTTTTTTTTCAATTTATGTGAGTTCACTCAAAATATTTTTTCACCAACAATCAATTTAGCCGACGTGATTGATCTTGTTGGGCCCGAGTTTTCCTTCAATTGGGCCAGCAAAAAGGAAATCAAACCAAACCAATTTGGCTTTGGTTTTTGGAAGGACAAAACCAATCAAATTTGGATTTTGGTTTGTTCGGCCGATGATTATAATTAGTAACTATTGGTCTTCTTTTGTAGTGTGATTTTTGCCCGTGAGTTTGTCAAGCAAAAACAAAGGCAGCCGTGCAACATCTCTTGTGCACGAGAGAAAAGAGAGAGAACTAGGGTTTCTGAGGTTTTGGTGTTGTGAGAAGAAAGTGTTTCACTTTGTGGCTTTGATCGGGTGATGAAACAGAGTCAATTATTGGTGCAAGTTTACATGTGTGTTACTCTCAACAAGATTTACAATTCCTCCGGTTTAGTTTTGATTTAGCTCTCTTTCGGTAAGATCCTTCCAGTCCTACTTTGTGATAGGTGTTTATGGAAGAGTATTGTTGTAATCCACCTTTGGGTGAAGTCCTGTGTATCCGCCGGTTGGTGAAGACTGTTTCCCATTATTGTAATAGTGGAGATTTGACTGTTGTTACGGTCCCGTGGTTTTTTCTAATTTGAGTTTTCCACGTAAATTCGTGTGTTTACTTTACTTTATCAGTTCTTGAATTATTTGTTTGTTTGGTTGGTTGTCCTATCTATTGGTAGTAGGAAAAAAGTTTTTCTTGGGAATCGTTTCCGCTGGTTTGTTGTGTTTATACCCATTCCGCCACAACAGTGGCATCAGAACTACGGTTCGGTATCGGGTACTGGTACGATGATTAACTTGACTTCATCCAATTATCATATGTGAAAGCCTAGAATGGAAGATTTGTTGTATTGCAAAGATTTGTTTGATCCTGTTCTAGGGGATGAAGGTAGGTCAAGTGATATGACTGATAAAAAGTGGGCAGATATGCACAGGAAAACTGTTGGTAATATTCGACAATGGATTGATCAAAGTGTGTTTCATCACTTTTCGGGAGAAACAAAAGCTGATGAACTTTGGGAGAATCCAGAATATGTACTGGAAGAAGTCTGGCATCAATAAGTCAATTGCGCTGAAACAGATTACCAGGTTGAGGTACAAAGATGGTGCTAGCATGAATGAACACTTGGGTTCGTTTCAGGGTTTGTTGAACCAGACAG